GGCTGGACTGCAAGGTTCCTGTGTCCAGCTGGTACCCAGGCATGGAAATGTAGCTTTTGTACAGTGTTGTAAAATTAAGGCCCCAAATTTTCCAGGGCACAAAGATAGTAAGTTTAGAGGGAAAGAATGTGTATAATCAACAGAAAGTGTCCCCACAGTTATAAAATGATATAATTGTGGGTCACAAAAATCAGAGTGGGCACATGAATATTTTATGTATTTTTTCATTCCATAAGAAGCTATACTGGTGCTCTCAGATGTTATGGTACGTAGGAAAATTAGTAAGAATCGACTTGGCACCTTGGAGAGTAATGAAGAAGGTGACGGAAGACAGGGGCCAGTCCTGGGATAAGGAGTAGCCATTCCTTGGAATCCACTACAGTCAAAGGATTTCATCTGCTTGTTTGGAGAAGACAATAGCTTGATCAGAACAGTCCTATAAGAAACTCAATCTGTCAGTCCAAAAGTCTGTATAGAAAGAGACCTAAAGTAGGAAGGAGAATCAGGAATCTAACAGAGAAGCCCAGAGATGGGCAGAACAGAGGCAGGGCTGAGCTTCTGCTGACTGGGGGCCTTCAGGTCCCAGCCGAGGTGCACTTTGCCCTCAGTCAGGCCCCGTAGGACAGCCAGGCCACACTCACTAAGCAACTTGTGCAGCTGGTATGGGTTGAAAACCCAACATGTGATCTGAATGAGCTGCAGCTGAAGAAACAGTCATCCTCAGGGACTGTTTTCCTGAGTCTGTGCTCCAGGGTTGGTGATGGTTGGGGTGTGGTGGAGCCAGTGGTGGTTCCAGCTCCAGGGAGGCTTCTCACTCCCTCCTGGAGGGGCAATTGCCCTTTTCCCTTCTGTTTTACTCCCTCTGCTGTGTGTGTGTGTGTGTGAGTGTGTGTGTGTCTAAGAGAGGTGAGATAGGACTGGGAAAGGGGGAGCTGGTGAGAGGCAGGAACCATGTCTGCTCTTTCCTCTTCTTAATGGCTCAGCTTCTGAGAAGGTCCGGAAAATTCCTATGCACAGGTTGCAGGCTTGGGGACCAGGATTGCCTGTCATTTCCAGTCTTAGTATGACTGATTTGAACTTGCTGAGTTTCCTGAGCAGGCGCCTGCCTGCCCTCTTATTGCTATGAAGATAAAATACGTGTAGAGACACTGATGTCAAGAATTTGCAATAGACAAGAAAAATGAAAGAATGGAAACCATGGAGAAATGAGAATTATTGGATCAAGTATGAAGAATGGTAAATGCTGATAATTTTTCTAATAGACATTGTGAAGATTAAAGTTTTTATGATGCTTCTTTGTCTTTTTTTCTTCATGCTAATGACACAAGGCCTAGGAGCATAAGGGGTTTGTCACTGGGTGTTACATTGCAACAAAAAGCAAGGCAGAAGTTCAGAATCCCCTCAAATGAAAGTGTGAATCCAATGGTAGGTTTTGTTACCTGAAATTAGATGTTGACTTGCCACTCTGTAAACTTTATTTTCTATATGAAACATTTTAAATGCAACCATTTAATTATTCATTGAAAGTTCATATGTACAACATTTAATGTGCACCTGCTCTATATAAAGTACTCCACTAGGTACTATTCATAAAATTAAACTTAACTATTCAGTTATGAAAATAGACCATGGCCCACATCCCCTACAAAGTGTTAAAAGCAGGCAACACGCCCAAGAACATGTTTCCTTTGAGTTTCACAAAAGTCTTAATTTGGGAAGGAAAAATCAAGAGTATTTGCTTTAGACCACAATGGGTATCCTCTGAAATGGTTACTACGGGGCACAGAGGTTACAGCCATAACTAAAATGAAATGTTGAATCAATCTGTGTGTATGACCTCATTCAAGTTTGGTGGTCCAAGTGATGTTTTTCTTGGCCTGTAAAAACTCCAGGTACTTGCAAAACTGTCTTAAATGGTAAAGGAATAGAAGATTTCTATTTTTATTTTTCTAAAATTAAGTTAGTTTGTATGTTTGGGCTCAATTTCTCCCTCTTTTGGTTACTCTATATGTGTCCAGTTTTCAGTCATGCAGTTACTGTTATAAATTCTCAACATTTTAAAAACATTTTCATTGATTTAAATTTAATTTTTATTATTTATTCCTTTTTTCTTTCATAGATACATGATTTGTACATATGTATGGGGTACATATGAATTCTCAACAATTAATATTAAATAAGAGGATAAAAATTCTGTTGTATTTCAGATTAGAAATGTTTTAAAATTTCTACTCAGGTCTGTTTTTCTCCACTTCATTATTTTCTTTCTCTCCATATCAGATTTATTTAAGTTTTATCATTTGTTTATCTTTATTTAGTACTTTACTTCAGGAAACTTGGTGTTATACTGGGAGCCTAGAAAGGCCTTCTAGTTAGTCTGTCTTGCCAGGTCTTACCAATTCTTTTCTCTCTGGAGCAAGCGGTGTTGACCATAGACATAAGAGATTTCCTGTCTGATTCCCGCAGGAGTCTCTCTGTGTCACAGAACCTGATGACACCTGGCTCTCTACAGACCATAATCAAATGGAAAAGCAAATCTAGTCAGAGTTCAGAAGGTGTGGGAAAATGAACCTAGAAAATCTAAAGTGAAAAAAGCCTTAAAATATATATGTATAGTTTCACAGTAATGATTATTTTCTTTGGCAATACTGTGACGTAAACAGGTATTCTTGGCTAGCAAATCTGTGGGCAGCACCAAGTTGGCATTTACATGCTACAGAAAAGGTACCTGAGGAAAGATGGCATGAGTTACTTGTTACAAATCATACAGTCTGGGTATAAGTGTGCGATGCATTTTTTAAAAACTATTTTTGTACGTAAGTTATGAATGCTTCTTGCAGAAAAATTGGACAATAAAAATGAGCAAGAAGAAAAAATATGTATCATCCAGGCACCCAGTAGATGTCTATATTAGTGTTGACATAATTTCTTCTAATTGTCTATATATGTATGGGGGGACCCCCAAAAAACTGAAATGATCATTTTGGAGGGTGGGCCCCTTGTAGTACAGACTTCCCTCATGAAGTAACTGTTCTAGGAACCCATATGCATCAGTGTACTGGTTAGTGTTGTTGTGAGAGGCTACATTTGACTTCAGTGACCTTTTTTTGGGAGATTATTTCAGCATGTTTGCCCATTTTATGATAGGTGATTTATGAGTACTCCTACCCACACTGTGCTGAATGTTCAGTAGTTTTGGGTGGAAAAACAGCAGGACTCCAAGCCTCACCCTCCCTATTCACCCAATCTTGCCCCAAGCAACTTTTTTTGTTTGTTTGTTTCCTGGATGAAAAACTTCTTCAAAGGGAAATGTTTTGCTAATGTGGAAGAGGTGAAACAAATAATGGCAGAAGCACTAAAAAGCTTCAAAATCAACTAGTTCAAAAACTGTTTTGAGCAGTGGAAAAGCATCTCAATAGGCGCAGTGCATCAAACAGTACTTTCAAGATGCATGAAGTTTAAACATGTAAGAATAAATACACAATTTTTTATAAATAAACTCCATTTTGGTGGTCCCTTCTCATATATACAGGCTGACTTTTTTTCTGAATGAAACTATACTGACTGATCACCTTTTTTTTTTAACTTGTCAAAATACCAAGAATGTCTTTTTGTATTTCAAATATACAGCTATTCTAAAGTATTCTATTTTTGATTACATCATAATTTAAATAGTCAGTCCTCTCTTTTTAGACATATACATGTTGTGCCAAATGTTTATTATAATAAGTATTTCAGAAGTGAACATCCTTATCCATACATCTTGGTGCTTCTCCTTTTCCCTTTAACCTCCTCAGTTTCGAGTCCTAGAGCAGTACTGCTGGGCCATAAGGTCTGTACATATTTAAGGTTCTGAGACACATGACTAAGTCACCCAGAGAAGTTCAACCAATTTAAAGCTTTCTCACCCCAGGGCAATTGAAGAAATTAACTCAGAGCATTCGAGTTGCTATGATGTGTTTTCCACCTTATTTATCCAGCAGTTTGCAGTTAGCTTCTGACCTTGCTCCTGGGATTGTTTCTGGGGATGAATGTGACTTTGGGAGTGGCACCTCTGGATGGAACTGGAAGTGTGTTTAGAGGACTCATTGAGACCTTGGAAGCAAATCTCTTTGGTCTTCCTACAAACCTCAGCCAATGGTCTCCACTCAAAAGGGTCAGCTTCCAGGAACAGGTTTTTAGTTCAAGGCCCCTTATGCTCAGGACAATGATGGAGAAAAAACAAGACTGAAACCCAAATGAAGTTTCTTTTAGTGAGCTTGAGAAGATATGTGACTAGGTAGCTACTCACATGGAAAAAAAAACTAAACGGAAAAGAAAATAGTGGCTCTCCCTCCTAGTCCTTCCTTTGTAACCACGGATACCTTCTATTTTCTAATCAAGTATTGTTAAATTTAGGGATGGGTTGCTGAGGGAGAGCAAGGCAGTTACATTCAATTTTATGTGTGCTCACAAGGCTGTGCATGCCACGCTCTCCTAGAGTCATAGAACCAACCACACTCAGGTTCAGACTCTAGTTCTGCCACTTCCTGTTTCCTTGAATAAATTCCATCACTAATCTTTCCTCATCTGTAGTTCTATTCTCACTGGGTTGCAGTGAGTATACCTTAAGTATTTAAAGCACTGAAGTAACCCCACTCCCATGGTTGTGCTCAGGAAGTGTTTGGTGAATCCATGCTCTCAGGAGCTGACTTAGATTTTAGTTGGCTTTCTGGGGAGGTTCTGCTTGCTCACTGTGCTTATCATGGTCTGAAATCGCATTATTTATTTTTGAATTTGCTGTGTACTGTCTGTTTCTCCATCTGCACAAACGTCTTCTGGAGGAGAGTGGGTTCCCAGAGCCTGGAACAGCCTTTTGGTATGCAAAAGATGGTGCCCAACATGTGTAGTTATGACTTGCTCATGTTCTTTCCAACACAGTTTCCTGACCAGGAGGTAGTTCACGCAGTGCCCTTTCCCCTGATCATCCCCTTCATTGGTCTTTGCTTGGTTCCAGCCATCCTCCGCTATCTGAAGAGTGATGGAAAGATTCATCTGGTGGTGTTCAACAACTTGCAGCTGGCTGATGGAAGACGACACAGGCTCCTCCTGAAACTGAGCGGGCTGCAGCGAGGGGCTGGCTCTGTGGAGCTCTACCTTGACTGCATCCAAGTGGATTCCATCTACAATCTCCCCAAAGCCTTTGCTGGCCTCTCCCAGAGTCCTGAGTCCATTGAACTGAGGACTTTCCAGAGGAAGCCGCAGGTAGGAACCCACAAACCCACTCTTTGAGGTGGAAAGACAGGTTGCCAGCACTCAGGGAGAGCAGAAAAATGAGCTGAGGAACATGTGTCACTCGGTCCTGTTCCAAGTCGGGGTCCAGTGCTGGCTGTGGATCACCGGGGAGCTTGAAAAACAGCTGCTGGAGGGCCATCCTCAAGACATGTTGATCAGAATCTGTCAGAGGTGCCTAGGCGTCACATTTGAATAAATACTGATTCTAATGTGAAGTTGAAAGTGAGAGCTTCTACCTTCTATGATAAGTAGAGCCTCTTTGAATACAATTGTAAAGTTGGCAAGAAAAAGCAAAAATAAAAATAACTACCTTAGGGCGATAGCATTATCTATTTTCAATTTTCTATGACAAATGTTTTTTATTTTTGATGAAAATATAAAGGAATATTGGAAACTGCCAAGTGCTAGGAACAGCATTTTTTGATAGGTCTTGTCAGAACATCCACTAAAAAGGAACTTATTGCTAGCTTAGTTCCATGTGGTCTTAAAAAATCCCATTACCTCTGTCTTCTGTTTTACTCCATGTTTATGGTATTTTTAAAAATTATATTATTGTACCTGCTGTGGAAGTTTCCAAATACATTTCTTTTGGAATATTGTGCTAGGAAATACTTTTCTTTTTTTGTAAAAAAACTAGTATCCTTTGTCCTTTCTTATAATGTATAACTGGTTCCTGAATTTTATCTGATGTAGAAGACATTGTCAAAATCAGTAACTATGTTCATCTGTTATGGCTCATAATATTTTTGTCTTTATTTCTGAAACCTCATTTTCCATTTCTGTTTTATTATTTTATTATATATGCTTAGTTACAAGGTGTTCTGAGCCCTCTGTACAAAGAGGCAGATGTAAGCAAGTTTCTGTTACAAGTAGGAATGCTGTGAAGTATTAGATAGTGATACAGAAACTATGAATTGGATCCTAGAATTTTGTGCTTGAACAACAGGAAGCATTTTAAAGCAGGAATTTCAAGAAAGCTAAAATCTAATGTTTTTTGTTTGTTTCTAGTTTTGCAGTCATAAATATAGAGAGATTTTGAAGGTAGATTTATATATAGAAAAAAATTAATGAATAGAAAGATACACTAAACTGTATTTCTGAATCCTCAAAGTAGCCCAGGTAATCAGAAATCGTGCCATTGATCACTTCAGAATTTAATATCCACCACCAAATAAATTAATTTCTGAAGGCCAGAACACAGCCACGACAAGATCATCAGAAACTATGCTCATTGGAGTGATATCAGAAGCTCTACCTCCTTAAACTGGCAGTAGGCATCACAGTGACTCAGTCTCATAGTCACATACTCATTCTTATATTCATTCGGTTAGTCAACAAATAGATACATTCCAGGCATTAGGGATACTGTGGTGGAAGATCCAGTTGTGATCCTGCCTCCGTGGAGATTATAGTCCAATGTCCAGCACGATATCTGTAATGTAGCATGTGTTACATAAATTTTAACTTAGCTAGATTTCAAAGTGGTATAATTCCTCTGAAAATCATTATTGTGCTCATTTCTGAAGTAAAGATGATGACGTCACATTGGCAGTTAACATAAACTTTTTCTGTCAAATGTAGATATAATAAAAGGGTGACCTGTGGACTAACAATAATTGATTGAGGTCAACCAGTAATGTAAAAATATGATGCTGACTACCTAGTGACTATAGAAGATACTGTTTATTCATCCTCATAGCCCAAGGAAATCAGAGGCTTTGCTAAAACCTGGAGCCAAGACATCCTAAAAACAATATTGTATAAAATTGGGACCAATATCTTATTTATTACAGTTTCAACTCCATAGACAAATATTAGACAATTCTTAAGAGGCTCCTGCTTAAAAAAAAAAAAAAAAATAGTTCACTTACCATGTAGGAAAACGGCCTTTCCTCTTCTCAGCCCCCTTGCCGAACTTTTGGGCCAAGTTGGATGCCAGCATTTTCCTAGGCTGCTGGCTACTTCCATATGCACTTCAGTCAAAAAGACAGGACTGGCAGCCTTTAGGAAAAATTCAAGCCTACATAATCGTGTAAGATGTCAGAGAGTCCAAGTATATAGGGCTACTCTGCTTTGAAAATTATATGAATGTGAAGGTACACTGCTTTTGAACAGTGTTGGCAATCTGTGGTATGAATGTGATTTTTTCCAGGACTTCCTGGAAGAGCTGAAGCTGGTGGTGAGAGGCTCGCTGTTCCAGGTGGCTAGCCTGCAAGACTGCTTCCTGCAACAGAGTGAGCCGCTGGCTGCCACGAGCACAGGTGTGGGTCCTGGGCGGTGTGCAAACCTCCGTCTACACAGACTCCATGGCCCCTGAGTGGCTGGGTTCCATCACTGGATGATGGACTGTTGACAAAGCAGCCAAACACAGTGTATCTACAGAAACCATGCTCTTGCTTCAAGTCCAGGGCAAGGAATGTTTTCATTGAGCTTTTATTTTTATAACTCACATGAATTTGGAACAGCTAACCAGTGGCATCACTCTCTTTTTTTTTTCCTTTTTAGGTGAATTAGAAAAATTACCCCAAATTAAATTCAAATACCGCAGGCTTTTGAGTCATCTTGTCATGATGATTCTCTGGGATCATTTGGTTTTTAGTCACTTAGGTATGACTGTCACTTGTTGAATGCTTCTTGCCTTTTGCTGTTCCTACAGGGGACTTTAACCGGCAGTTCTTGGGTCAAATGTCACAATTGAACCAACTACTGGGAGAGGTGAAGGACCTTCTGAGACAGCAGGTAACAAACATGACATATCATTAAGAAAGCCCCAGTCTTGACAGAGGAGCTGTCTGTCCCAGTCAGTGGAGCTGCAGGCCTGCTCAGACAGGGAGGTGGCTCTGGGCGCCTGCAGCACCAGCCCAGAGCTCTGCTAGGGGGACTCTGGAAATGTGGGCTGTGCTTGTGACAGACATACCATGGCTCCAAGCAGAGCAGTGCCATCATGGGCTACATTAGCTCTGCTGTAAAACGTGTTGTGGAGATAGCCACACAAGAATTCTTTCATTCCTGGATTCCTTTTCAATCCTTTTTCCCCCTCCCATTTTCAAAGGTCAAGGAAACATCATTTTTGCGAAACACCATAGCTGAATGCCAGGCTTGTGGTAAGTGCTTTTCTAGTAACTGGCTCACTCTAAGTTGGGTGATTCAGGCTAATGCAAGACCTGGGGTGAGACTGTGTGGACTGTGGTTTCCGCAGGTTCCCTACATGGTTAGAGGCAAGGGAAGTGGAAAATCAAAGTTCATGTTGCAAAGTTCATGTATCTTGCTGGTGACAAATGAGCCTGTGGATTACTGTTTTTCTCTAGGTCCTCTCAGGTTTCAATCTCCAACTCCAAGCACACTGGTGCCCCCAGCACCCCCGGCACCCCCAACACGTCCACCACGCCGGTGTGACTCCAACCCGTGTTTTCGAGGTGTCCAATGTATTGACACCAGAGATGGTTTCCAGTGTGGGCCCTGCCCCGAGGGCTACACAGGAAATGGAATCACCTGTTCTGATGTTGATGAGGTAAACACCCTATGGCTTATGGAAAAAGAAGTCAAGCTGATAAGTAAGGGATGACTTTGATTGTCCCCCAGGCTCCATAAGAAAACCTACTTCCTGGTGGGAGGAGGTGAGGGAAGAAATATTACCTGTTGTGTGCAACGTACACTGTTAAAGGGATGGTACACTAATAGCTCAGACTTTACTATGCGGTATATCCATGCACACAACTGTACCCCTAAGTCTATAAAAATTTAAAAAAATTTCTTTAATGGCTACCTGATGACTTCCTGGAAAGACCCCGAGACACAGAGAAGCAGAAGGAGCCATGACACAAGACTGTGACCGTGTTTGCCATTCTTTCTCTCTGCATTTCTGAGAGAAAACATGGTCCATATGACTATAGTGCTGAGATTTCTGCACTTTGCATTGGTGGTTTCTCTTTTGCTGTCTGTGTTACAATTTTGCTTTTCCACTGCTTTTGAAAATATGGAATGGGAGGGTTTTTGTAAAGATTTTTGTAAGTCAGGAGTTACAATGATTTCTTCAGCCTTCTTAAAATAGAGAAGCAGAGGAGACTCTCACACCAACAAGACCTGTTGGGGAGGCTCTGTCACCTGTGAGTAACTAAAAGTGAGAGGAATCGAGCTGGAGGGAGCACATCCAGCAAATATGGCTGTCTGGCCAGCTGGCAGAGCCCCAAAACAGAATTCAAGACCAGGGTTAACCAGTTAGTAGTCCAGTTGCAGAACAGTGTCCATAGCAGGTAGCAAGGCTGCCATGAAAATGTGCACACTAGCACCCATGGGCCCTGCAGGCTTGGGGAACACTCAGCTGATTACCTACCTGGCGGTAAGCAACTAAGAGCATCTCTAGGAATCCCTTAATTGTAGAAACATCTGCACGTTTCACAAAACTGCATCTGATTTTTATCTGTGAGCTAGAATTTTCCTCCTTTTGAAAAGGCAGGAAGTGGTTATGGTTTTTACATTAGTTGAAGTGGTTAAAAAAGAAAGAAAGAAAGAAATCAGTTGCCCAGACAATAACAGCCTAGGGATAACTGAGGACTTGATAGGACACAAAGGCAAGCATAGACCCTGATGGATCAACAACTTGATGAAGAGGAGTCTTCTCTGGCTTTGTCTTCTCCAGGTCTTTCCATATGAGTGGTGGGTTTGCTAATGCCTTTGGAGTCATCTAATAGCCAGTTGACAAGTGGTCCGGGGACACAGTTCTTTCACAGAGACTTGTCAGTTCTAAGTTAGATTATCAGGGAGCTAATCACACTGGGAGGTAGACTGGTTAATATCAAGGATCCTTTCAACCCAAGTTACAATTTTCTGTAGTTACATTATTCTGTAATACAGTAAAGCCCACTAAAGGTAGCCCTAGGTTGTGTGGGTCAGGGATTCCTTGGGTACTATAAGATTGGAGGCCTTGACTTCCTTTATCATTCTTTTCTACCAAAAAATAGATAGTTAAATGACTAAATAAGCATGTATAAACAAATGGAGAAAGGTTTGAGAGTGTTTTCTCTGTGTGGCTAGAGACTAAACTTTTTTTTTTTCTCTCCAGTGCAAATACCATCCCTGTTACCTGGGTGTGCGCTGCGTGAACTTGTCTCCTGGCTTCAGATGTGATGCCTGCCCAGTGGGCTTCACAGGGCCCATGGTACAGGGTGTTGGGATCAGTTTTGCCAAGTCAAACAAGCAGGTGGGCTGAAGTTATGGTTTCAATGCATTTTTTATCTTAACAGAACAATTCTGGTTGGTTCCTACCTCTTCATTATAGACCTTTACCTCCTTGAGCAGTTAATGCCATGTGCAATATCATGGTGCATGATATGAAAATGAGGAAGTTCTCCATTCATTTCTGAGTATTTATGTCCATAAAGTCTAGCAGGGAGGAAGTTGTTGAGTTGGGATAATAGGATATCACTAAAAAAGAGAGAGTAGGGTAATACTGGATATGTGGCATAATTTCAGATGTATTTTGTGACTAACCATTAAGCATTTTGTCCTGCAGAATAACTTGAGAATCAGAAAAACAAATAAAAGCTTTGAAATATTAGGTCACTTTTACAGTCATTGTTGCCAATCAGAAGCTGTGTTAACCAGGAGGGGATTTCAAGAGTAGAAATGATCCCCTGAGGCCACTTCCGCTTTTTCTTATATAACCTATAAATGCCATAAAGCACTGGAGTACTTCAAGACAGTCTCCATTTATTTCCAAATGTTCTACTATATCCTGGTCATTATTTAACTGACTGATTGTGAAATTCTTTTTGATGTTTTCAGCCCTTAAAAATAGTTGGTCTATAGATATATTTTGCAACCTTAGGAAAATTATTAGCTTTGGAGAAGGGAAGAGGCTCATTATATCTTAGCTGCCTATCAAAGGATTCTAGAGGGCATTATTTTTTTAGACTAGAAAAAGAAGCCAAGCTCAACATTAGGAATGACAAGAAACCATTAAGATAATGACCCAAAGTTTTTCTTCCTCTCCTCTAATGATGACATCTCTAAGACTAAACCAAGAAAAATAGGCAAAATGAAAAACAAAGTGCTTAGTGTAAGGTAGTAAGGTGCAAGCATTTCCAATGAATTTCCACATCACAGTAGACCGAAATGAAATAGAAGGAAGTCACCTTGATAAAATTTAATGATAAATTTTAATGTACTCCAAGGGCAAAAGAAATAAAAGAAAATGATGAAATTTCCAGAAACAAAGAGAAAACTCAAAGCCAAAACTGTGAGTGAGGCTGAGGCTACCACAGCTCATGGGAGGTGGGAGCTGGGTCTGGGTCCTTGGAATGGGGAGCTGGGGTTTTAACACCTATGTGGGTGCAGCAAATGTAGTCTTGGAACTTTATTCATTAGAGATCGCTGATGTGAATTCACATCATTCCAAATGTTGTTTCTGGTCGCCATTGACGTGAGTTTACGTATTTGCAAATTCTGTTTCTGAATGCTATAACGTTGTCATAAGTATGTGTTATTATATTTTGCTTGAAAATGAATAGTCAGGCAAGGAGAGAGAAAATTAATTGAGATAATTATCTGATATCAACTGCATAATGTTGTTATTGATTTATGTAGTTGGTAAAAATTGCAAATTGGTCATTATTTGTTGCGATTAGTGTTGAATACTTGCATTTTGATATTTCAGTGTTTTCGTACTTCAACACTAAAAATAATTTATCATAATTATGAAAAATGAAGAAATATATGCTGATTTCTGAGGTGAATCCAGTGAACTTATTAGTGATAATGAGACAGTAATGTAATGATGCAATGCAAATGAAGATATATATATTTATATTTATCATATATTTATATACATATAAAATATATATTTGGTTTATAGTCCTAATAAAAATACAAAGTATGGAATCCTAGTCAGAGTGGTGTCTGAGGCAAATACTGGCTATGTCTGCAACTTTCAGCTGTATTGTGAAAAAGGTGACGATTTAGAAAAGACCATTTCACTTGTGCTTAATGACAGAAGTTTGTGACAACCAGCTTCAGATTTTTCTTATTTTCACCCACTCTCAGTATTAGGAAAGTGAAAATTTTGCTGATCATTAATGTGCTAAGGAAGGCCTGACACCCCTGCAAAAATCCAGGAGCCTCAGAGAACTACCCTGTCTACTACCAGGATATGGAAAAGCTTTATTAACCCTAAGAAATAACAAAAAAGCTTGACTTCAGCTTTGAGACATAGTTGACAAAAATGAAAATTACCCACAACAAATCAAAGTTTCAAGCTTGTACCACATATAGTTATTAACTCCAGAGCTATGCTATATATAGCTACAAGCCAAAAACAAACTAATAACCAGCTCAGGAGCAGTAAAATCCCAAAGCCCTGCCTAAAGTCAAATGCGTATATCACTATGTAAAGACATTCTAAAATCCAGGGCCTGTGGAATGCCCATAGGCAAAATCAGGGCTACTAAGGCTGTGCTCATAAACAAAAATGGCAGTTTACATAAAGAAACTACCATAAGGTGATATGACAAATACAGAATAAATTTAAAGGGATAAAGAGATACAAGAAGGAATACATACCATAAATAAAGAATAGGGCAATGTGGAAAAAAAAACAACACACATTTGAAAAATATCCAGGCAGGGCTTGGTGGCTCAACCTATAATCCCAGCACTTTGGGAGGCTGAGGCAAGTGGATTGCCTGAGCCCACGGGTTCGAGACCAGCCTGGGCAACTTGGCAAAACCTCATTTCTGCAATAAATTAAAACTTAGCTGAGCGTGGTAGCACACGCCTGTAGTTCCGACTATTTGGAAAGTTGAGGTGGAAGGAGCCCAGCAGGTAGACAGTGGGGTGGCTGTGAGCGTGCGTGCCACTGCGCTCCAGCCTGCACAACAGAGTGAGACTCCAACTCAAAAAAAAAAAAAGAAAAAAAAGAAAAAGAAAAAGATCCAAATAAAACTTTTATCAATAAAAAACTACAATCACTGAATTTAAAAACTCAATAGATGGTTAAAACAGATTAAACACAGTTATCAGGGAATTCATAGGCTGTATGGTAACTTTAAGGAAATCATCCAGAATGCATGGAAAGACATGGAAAGTATAAACAAGGCTAAGAGTCAAAAGAAGACATTATTGAGAAAGTCCAATATTTGTCTACTTGTAGCTCCAAAGAAAGAAGGAAGAGGAGTAGAGGGAAGCTGAAAATTTTCAGAATTAAAGATCAGCAGGAATTCACAGAAGTATACTGAGTGACAAGCATGATTAAAAAAACTTTCCTAACTAAAAAGGTATAGAACATGAATTGTACAAGTTGCCTTTTCTGCACAACTTTAAATACTATAAAGTTAATTATCATCTGCAATTAGATGAAGTACAAACAGTACAAATGCAGGGAGATGGCACAAATAACTTTCAGATCATCATTCTACTTGAATTTCTGTGTGTCTACTTCACAAAAATAAACTAAAACAAAGGACATTTATTTGCATTTTTATTCCAGCAGCCATATCTCTAAACATTATTTTAACTTTTCTGCACTAGGTCTGCACTGATATTGACGAGTGTAGAAACGGTGCATGCGTTCTCAATTCTGTCTGTATTAACACTTTGGTAAGTATTTCTCACGGCTATTGTTATCAAAGCAGAACAAGTTCTTAAAACAAGTGTATGTTTATAGATCATGACCCCCAAACACACATAAAACATATAGGCAGAATATATTTGATTGGCAGAATAGGGGCAAAAATTTGTGCTGAAAGTGTTTAACATGAGAGTAATTTTGTAAATAATTTTTAAGATTAATTTTAAAAGGGTCAAGTTTGTTCTTTATCTTCTATCAAAGTTGCAATATTTGGCTCTTAGATAACAATTTATTGGATAAAACATTACCTGTTGTATTTTAAAATTGTGAGGAACTTGGAACTATCGTAATAGTCCAGCATTTTAGCAAAGACTACATGATTCCCAACTAGTATTTTCATTTTCATAAAATGTTCCAAAAGTCATCTGTATTAAATTAAAGTGCTTAGCACTTAGGGATGTCTGTAACTTAAATATTCAGTTATGAGTTTTATTTCTAAAATTCTTGTCAAGTGTGTGCAAGGTGAAAGATGTAGCAGAGTAAATGATCAACAGAAGAACTACTGATTTCATGTGTGACAAGTTTCCAAGTTGTCTCTGGAAAAGTGATCTAATCCCTAGGTTCCTCATTTCCTTTTAAGTAAAAATACTTTACAATTATCACTTATTTTAATCCTCACAACAACCCTGTGAACAGGTACTATTAATGTCCTCATTTTACAATAGAAGAAACTGAGGCACAGAATTAGGCTACATAATTAGGCTAAGGCCACATAGCTTATAAGACTTCCAGACTGACTGCAGACCTTGGATTCTTCTCCACAATGCTATGCTGCTTAGGAATACACAGGGTTTTATTGCTTCTTAACTATTTACCAGGACAAGGCTGGTCTTCAGAAATAAATTTGGGAGACATTGTTATAAAGGTAATAATTGAGCCCTACAAAAAGAAGGAAAGACAGTGGACAAAACTCTGGGAAACCTCCAAAGTAAAGACGTAGGCACAGGAAAAAGGGCAGAAGCCAAGAGGAAGAGTGAGCTGTCAGCATGCCAGGGAGGCTGATCCATCAGGAAGGACAGTTGGAAAGCATTCTCTGGACTTGGCAAATAGGAGGTCATGAGTGACTCAAATCACTCAACTGTATACTTTAAACGAGTGTCTTTTACAGTATGCAAATTTTATCTCAATAAAGCTTATAAGATGAGTAAGTTCTGAGAATCTAACATACAGCATGGTGACTATAGTTAATAACACTGTATTATATACATGAAATTTGCTGAAAGAGTAAATCTTAGAAGTTCTCCCCAAAAGAGAAAAAAAAAAGAAGGTAACTGTGAGGTGATGGATGTGTTAATTAACTGACCGGTAGTCATTTCACCATGTTTACATATACTACATCATCATGTTGTATACTTTAAATATATGCAATTTTATTTGTTAATTATACCTCAATGAAGTTGAAAATTTTTAATAATGAAAACTACTATCTATCTATCTATCTATCTATCTATCTATCTATCTATCTATCTATCTTTAAGCTGTTTAAAAAAAAGGTACTGCCTGGCCCCGGGAGTGTCACTGCTGTGGAACTGTCAGCTCGTTTGCCAGGTTTCTTCAGAGCAGCCTACCTCATCAAGAATTCTTAGTGCTAGCCTCCAACGTTCCTCTGTGCACCTGTTCCTTTGTCATTCAATTGTACAAGAGTTAAAGGAACAGCAAAAAAAAAAAAAAAAGAAGAAGAAAATAAAAATTAACTTGCTTTAATCAAATCATGTTTCTGTCCCCAGAGTCCATCTCCCAGGATGTCATTGGGACGTTTGGACATTCCCCCTTGCCCTCCACAGAGCAGTTGGCAGGCTGGTGTCACTGGTTCATTGTCCAGCCTTCTTCTGTCTTCAGTTCTGTTCCTTCATTATCTCGTAAGACACACGTGTGAGCAGAAAGATGGGCCAGCATCCCTCTGAATCTCAGCATTAGCAAGCACAGTAAACAACACACAGGCTCATCATCTCTTTTGTTCCTCTCAGGGAACCTATCGCTGTGGGCCTTGCAAACCAGGGTACATTGGTGATCAGACAAGGGGATGCAAACCTGAAAGAAGCTGTAGAAATCCAGAGCTGAATCCTTGCAGTGTGAATGCACAGTGCATCGAAGAAAGGCAGGGGGATGTGATCTGTGTGGTAAGCTGTCTCTTGACCTGCTGTCTCCTGCCCCTCCTCCATTTTAACGCCACCACTCTTGGCTTCTACTTGCCTCAGGGTAAAGTACCCCAGAATGAAAGTGTTGTAATCAAAATAAGCATAGAATACAATAGGAATAGGGTCAATTGAGTGTGTGGGGAGCAGTGTGAAGGTCATCTAGCATCAGCCACCTTTTCTCCCCATCTTGGCTACAGGGTGACACCATCCCTTGGGCACCTGGATGCTAGAGCCCGTGGTGGAGACCTGGTTCCCAAGACCTTTCTGTGGAAAGGCTCAAAAAGCCAATGGGGGCGAGTGAACGGCTTCTGTCCTCTTTTCCTTCTGTTGTCCCTCTACCTGCTTGTATAATTTACAAGCATACCTGCTACCATCGCTAGCTACTCTCACCCTTAGGACTTCCAGTGTCAGTCTGTCCTGATGCTTCCGGGGGTGAGTCACAGTAAAGACGTAGGTACTATTGTAAACCCTCAGAGACCTCCTGTCTCCTGCAGGTGGGTGGAAGGGAGTGGATGGCATCATGCTCTGTGTCTACCCCCTCCATATTCAGGGATGGCAACGGTCTGTCCATGTTCCAGCCTGCAACCAGCTGGAGAAGGAAGGCTGGAAGGAAAGTGGAGCAGTCTTTGCAGACGTGGGTCTTGTGCTGAGCTTGTAGAGGGCCCTCTGTAAAGAAGAAAGCTTGCTCCTACTGTCCATGCCCAGATGATGGGACCCAGAGTCAGCACTGACTCCAGGCACTGAGAAGCAGCCAACTTGGACTGCTCCTCCTTTTCTTGGGCTGGGCCTTCAGCAGACCCTTCAGAGTTTGGTATGCACAGGCTACTGGGGATCATCTCCGGCAGCAGGATGGACTCTGGTAGACCTTCCCCTCTTCTTTATATCTCAGACTTAGACTTCTTTATCTCTATGCAGGCAAAACTTTCTGTGAGGAACATATATTCATTTTCAAATAGGGAAAACAATAAGAGCCAAAAATAAGTTAACAAAATAAATAGAATAAAGTCAGCCCTCCCAGGAAATACAGATATTCTGTGACAAGGTCAAGATAAAGGGATGTGCTGTATCAAAGGAGCAAGATTCAACTATTTCTCTAATTCCTTTGGTTGGGCATGTTTATTATGAAAAAGAGTCATTGAGATGCAAGTGTATGTCTGTTTCAGTCCTCATTTTCTGTGAATAAATGGATGCCTCCCTTGGGATGGTAAACGATAGGGCTCCTGATATGTTTTTTAATTTGTAGTAAGGCACAGTGACAGATGGTAATGGATTAATACACTTGGTGTGACTACTAACATAATGTAAGCTGCCATTAAATGGCTCATTAAAAATGTATTTATTCCTAGAGGAAATTTTCCTCATTAGAGTGAGTCAAGGACCATACCCTGTGGCTGAGCTTCCAGGCCTTCCAAAGGGCTGCCAAGGCGGCTGAGTGGGACAGGGGTGTTCAGGGTTCCTTTGGAGTCCTGTCCCTCTGTCTCTGGTTCAGAAGAAGCTCAGATGACTAAAAACAGGCAGGCTGCAGCTTAGGCCATCGGTGACTGGTCTGAAAGCACTTGGTTTCGACTGGAGAGGCTGGGAGTTTGACATGTGCACATGTGAAGTTCATTTTCTTGGCCCTGCCTCTGCTTGTCGGATCCTCTCCTTCCTCTCTCCTTTGTTCTCCTGTCACAGGGCTACTTTTCCTCCTGCTGCAGCAGTTCCCTGACATTTTCTGGGTCACCTTCTCCCATCTTCTTTCTGCTGTTCTGTCCGTCTCTGGGAACAGGAGTGGGAAGGAGAGTTTTCTCTATCCATCTCCCTTTGTACCTGTTAAATTTTGAATCATGATACTATTCAGGTATAATTAAATCAATTTGGAACCCTACCCCTCCAGACTGTCTGGCTCTGGTTCTCCCATCCAGGAGCAGAGGTCCTGTTAGCCCCGCTTCATGGGCCTCTGATGGGCATTCTCTTTACAGTGTGGAGTTGGCTGGGCTGGAGATGGCTATGTCTGTGGAAAGGATGTGGACATTGACAGCTACCCTGACGAAGAGCTGCTGTGCTCTGCCAGGAACTGCAAAAAGGTAGGAAGACAAGGTGGGGGGGGCATGTACACACACACGCATGGGCACACACTCACACATATATGCACACACATGTGTGTGCACACTTGCACATGTACACACACGCACATATGTGCATGCATATATGCTCATGTACAAACCACACACATGTGTGCACACATGTACTTATACATGCACATATGCATGCACATACCCTGTGACTTTCCAAGGCCACATCTCATATGGGGAGAGATTCTGTGCATCTCACAAAAAAATTGCATGTTTAAAGTAGCTGCATCTCAAATGAAGCAAAACAGTCACCCACAGTCAAGCAAATCAGCCACAGCCAGTTGTGAGGCCAGAAGTGGTTCTTAGACAAATGTAGGATGTCACTCTGAGCTGCCTGTCCCCCTTTAGGACAACTGCAAGTATGTGCCCAATTCTGGTCAAGAAGATGCAGACAGAGATGGCATTGGGGATGCATGTGACGAGGATGCCGACGGAGACGGGATCTTGAACGAGCAGGTACTAACTTTGTGGGAAGGACCATGAACCGCCACATCCCCAGGGTGGTGGAAGAAGGTATGTGAAGTCCACTATTCATCGGAATCACCTCAAATATTAGTTTCCATGCCTGCATTTCCATAGTGCAGCAGCTCTTTATAAGAGTCACATATCTTTAAAATATAAAATGGACAAACTTGGGTCACCAGAGTTCTGACCACTTATAACACTGGGGAGAGTGGGTTCAGGAACAGTCTGAATGCGTGTTCTCTCTTCATTTGTCAGGACAACTGTGTCCTGACTCACAATGTGGACCAGAGGAACAGTGATAGAGACATCTTTGGGGATGCCTGTGATAACTGCCTGAATGTCTTAAATAATGACCAAAAGGACACAGACGGGGATGGGAAAGGAGATGCCTGTGATGATGACATGGATGGAGATGGTGGGTTTGTCTTGCTTTGCCTTTTGTCTGGGATTCATTTGCCCTTGTCCTCTGTTAAGAGTGGGAATATAATTAGTGACTCAGGGCCTTCCAGCACTGGGTGTCTTGTGGCGGCCTGCATCTGGAGAGCCCAAGGGGGACTTGTGTCTGTGGAAGGAGACTCCACAGCCCACTCTCTTATTTAATAACTCTGGATGTGTCTGGGGCTCTACGTCACAGCCGGAAACTTTGTAAGATCCTGTCAAGCAGTGTCTTGTCAGGGTGTGTCTTTGTGGGACATCTGCCTTCCCAGATCATACTTTTTCTCACTTCTGATCAGCCTTTTCACATGTCGAAGACCTGGAGGTGGGTAGGGTTACAAGCTACACATCACATCATGGGCTGTGAAGGAAAATCCATTTAGAACTACCATCTCACCCTAAACACACACACCACTATAGGATAACCATGTGTGCCTACAGCATGACCTCACCTTCATGAGCCTAGCTGATGGCTCAGATCCAGTGGGGTGAACCAGCACACTGAAACAAGTCAAGACAAGGAGAGCCCCAGTGTGCGGTATTTACCAGTTTTCATGATATACCTACACACTCCTGTCATCATTGATTTGAAGCTACCAGTATGACACTGTTGAACACAAAATTGAAAGAGAGGGACACAATGGGCCTGGCTGCAGCGTGACACTGCCTGAAGCTCTAGGTCTCGATTATAGTTCCCACATGCACAAGGCACCCTCTCTCCAGGGCCAGCCCCCAGGCATCATGACCCTCCTCTGGTTACTGCCATAGTAGCCCTTGACATCTTTCAAAGAATTTGATTCCAATGGCTAAATGCCTCTGAAAGCTGATCATTTTTGAGTCTTCCAGATTCTATCCTTTGAAGATACTTCTAGTTAACTCTTGGAAAGGGTAGTGCCCATGTGATGATGGCCTGGGTAGGATTAACTCGCCACATGCCTGATCTCTGCAGTACCTAGAAGTCAGTGACGTGCCTCTGATCCGAGGTAGCATTTCTTTCCCACAGGAATAAAGAACATTTTGGACAACTGCCCAAAAGTTCCTAATCGTGACCAATGGGACAAGGATGGTGATGGTGTGGGGGATGCCTGTGACAGTTGTCCTGATATCAGCAACCCTAACCAGGTCAGTGGGACACAGAGGAATTAGACTCTAGGCTGAACTTCCTCATGCAAAGACTCACTTAAGACCAGGGTCTGGAGAAAGAACAGAGCCCATTCCACAGTTCCTGGCTGTCACCACTTCCCTCACAGATCAGACGTGGTGAAATGACATACTTTAGGCCTGAACACAGTGGGAAGAACACACCAAGAGATCCGAGGTCCTGGGACTAATCTCATGACTATAGAGAGCCCATGCAGTTAAAAATGTGAGCTTCATCATGCCCAGAACAGGTTTGTTTCTGCTGATAAGGAAATGGACATTAAACACTGGGATCCTTGTGTCCCTTTAGTCCTTGAGCCCCTACACTGCCTATGCACAGACATTTCAGATGAAGTTCAGTCAGCGATGTGTTGAGTGTTCCTTCCCACTTCCCATTGCTGCCTGGATAATTGGGTATGAAGTGGCATTTATTTTCACAGCCCCAAGAGAGGGGAGTTGTGGCTGCCTTCTGTGACTCACTCACCATTCTGGCTCAATTCCAAACTGCAAAAGCAAAGTGAAATCCCTTTGCATTGTCCCCATGCCTGTGGCTGGCTCTCTTTCATCCTGTCTCCTCCTGCCACCATGCCACCCCAGTTCCTCTTCCAATCAGCTCATCTGGTGTGTTGGCTGCCCATCTAGGGAGCTTGGTATTTTAGAAGACTTTTTTGAAAATTCAGCATAGTGCTTACACCAGTATGGTGCTGTCCTTTTGCAGTTTTGCACCACCCAGTTCCAGAGAAATAATTCCCCAAATCCAGTGATGATGGACCAGGTCTGCCTTCTCTAGAACATTTTGTACATTCAGGCCCAGGGATAAGTGATGACATGATCTGTTCTCTTTACAGTCCGATGTGGATAATGACCTGATTGGGGACTCCTGTGACACCAATCAAGACAGGTATGGTGTGAATCCTGGCATCTCCCAGCTCAGAGAGCTGGATGCTTACCTCTGGAGAGAGGATTAACCTCCAGAGCTTTATGTGATCCCGTGCTCTGGGATCTCTCTGGGTAGATGGGGCTGCCAGCAGTACCGTAGCCCTGACGATGGCCAGCATTGCCACATCTCCCTGAGAGTTCTGTATAGGGGATGATGGTGGCTCATGAGGCACCCCAGCGAGTGAGATCTATTGCAGGAGAAACAATATAGTGTCATGCATCACAGATGGGTTTTGGAGTGAGACCGCTAGGTATAAATCTCAGCGCCTTTTCTTCCATGTTGGCCAACCTTAGGCAAATTACCTAACCCCTCCATGCCTTAATTTGCTCATCTGTGAAATAGGATGACAGTAGATTTCACTCACAGGACTGTTGCAGAGACTGAGTTAATCAGTGAAAGGTGCTTATTATGGTTTCTGTTCTATACACAGCACTCAATAGACATTAGCTCTTTCATTATTCTCTCAGTGCAGGAAAACTTTGCCATCATCCTAAAATAGAAGGCTGTCAGTTTGCTGAGGGATTGCTATTATTTCACTGTCCTTGAAATTGTTTTATTCCATCTCCCTTATTTAAGTGGAATTGTTCTATGCAAGTGGATTTTGTCATCCCTCCTAGTGCAACACAATGGGTCCTACATTAAGACATGGGTCTGCACCAGATGCTGTAGGAACATCACCAAAACATAGATATATCCACTGGGTCCTAGAGCCACCTTCAATCCAGGGGTCTAAACTGTTTCATCTTTTTAGGGAATTCTTATGGAGGCAGCCAGAACAGGGATGGGAGGTAAGGATTCTAATAGGGAAAGGATGAAAGAAGTAGCTTCTCTTCTAGTACCTGGACCCGAGGTTGCCCTGCAGAAACCAGTTCTCGACCCAAACCTCACTCAAGGACAGTTCCTCTAAAATCCCATCTCCTTCCTCATGCTACAAAGCAAATATAGTCATTCTTCAGTATCTGTAGAGGATTGATCTTGGGAACCTGAGGATACCAAAATCCATGGATGCTCAAGTCCCTTGAGCAACGAACCTAGAACAACCTCCCATATACTTTAAATTATCTCTAAATTAGGCTACTCATTACCTAATACAATGTAAATGCTACATAAATGGTTGCTATTCTGTATTTTTTTTATTTGTATTATTTTATTGTTGTAGTGTTATTTTTTATGGGTTTTTCTTTCTGAATGTTTTTGATCCATGGTTGGTTGAATCTGCAGACATGGAACTGTGGATACAGAGGGCCGACCGTACTAGCTAAGTGAACTTAAATATATTTCTCAATCTCTCGGAGTCTCCACTTCTTCATCTGCGAAGTAGAGGTGATTAAATGCATCTTGCACGTTACGGTGAAAATTCAAGTTAATGTAGGTAAAGCACCCACACAGAGCTGGCCTGTGGGATATGCACAAAGGATGGGGGCTGTGTTATCATTGGTATCAGCATGAGGAGGGGCATGTCAGCAACAGAGTCTGACATCATATGTCTCACAAGGAAAAGATGGACCTGGTATCCGGACAACTGCCTTGGTGAAGCACATCAAGAATGTTCCCTGTTTCAGGTCATCCTGCACTCTGCCATCAACAGTAATTTCTATCCCAAAATATCCTATCCTACCAGACTTTAGATAGTTGCCTAAAACAAATGACTCATTCTGCTACATTTTAATTTCCACAAGCTTGAATCTTGGGGAAGAGGACAAGAACTCCTTGTTTTACATAAGAATGTGCAGGGCTATATAGACTGGCTATTGATGAAATAGCTCAGTCTTACATTTTATAAAGCAGCCCAGGAATTCTGCTGTTCAAGCCATGTCATCTTCTGCTTATTCAGACTGCCCTGGATATGGCATGGACTGGTCCCTGGCTTCCTCCTATATCCTCTCCTAGAGAGTGTAGAAGCAGTGTCTGGCCCAGGGAAGGTCACAGGTGGAACAGGGTGAAAAGAGTATTTGCTTTGATCCAGAGCAGCCATGAGAGACCTCAGTAGATTCAGGGAAACCTCTGGGGACAGGGAAGACTCATCATAAGGTGGCATTCAGCCTGGAAAGTCGAGTGGACAGAGGAGAGTCCTGAGAAGCCCCTCCAGCCAGCACTGAGGCCAGCCTGCATGCTCCCCTCTTGGGAAGGGGTGGCCTTGTTCTCTTTGCTGTTCTCAGTCCTTGTGGAGTCCACTCACCAGGGACTGTGCCTATAGCAGAAAACACTATAGGGCTTCCCAAGAGTCAGGCACTGAGGAAGGGCTTGTGCATATATTAAAGTTTATTATGCAAAATTCTGATCATTTTAATCAGGTAATCTCCACTACAATACTATGAGATAGATGTTGTCATTATCCCCATTTGTCAGATGAGGACACTGAGGTCAAGTGCCATGCCTGGGACCATATGCTGGTCAGTGGCTAAGCCAGGATTTACCTGAGATTGTCTGGTCCCGCTGCCCCTCACTCTGTTCCCTCACAGGTCCTCTGAGTCGGGGATCATCTAGCAGTCCCTGAGACCCATAGGAGTGTCTGGTCACAAATCACAGAAATAGACCCTTATCTTCTTGAGAAGGAAGTGCCTCACTTATTTCAAGAGGTTAGGAAGTGGGAAAAGGGTCTCTAAGGCGCATAGGGCAGGCTTATCTAAGGAAATGATCCCAGTGAGCTTGATAAAAAAACCAAACATGTTTTTAAAAAAACCCCTCAAAAATAGACTTGCTTTCCTGAGAATACATGCTTCCTGTCCCCTGCTGAACTGTGATCCAAACCACCTCCCCTTCTGCCCTCAGTGATGGAGATGGGCACCAGGATAGCACAGACAACTGCCCCACCGTCATCAACAGTGCCCAGCTGGACACTGATAAGGACGGAATTGGTGATGAATGTGATGACGATGATGACAATGATGGCATCCCAGACCTGGTGCCCCCTGGACCTGACAACTGCCGGCTGGTCCCCAACCCAGCCCAGGAGGATAGCAACAGTAAGTGGGCTCAGCCTGGCACACGGGCACACCTCCCCAGCCCCACTCAGAGCATCCCCAACTCTCCGAGCCCCAGTTGAAGCTTCTTAATAATCAGCTCCTCTGTGTAGCTGCAACTTGTATGGACAGTAGACGTCTGACTGACACCAGTCTCCAGCTTAGTCAGAGCTAAGCTGCTTTGCATCTTCCTGAGCCGCCCTGGGACGAGGTCACACAAGGCAGGGAAGCAGCCATGTGTTACAGCTGAGTCTCCAGGGGGCTTGGAGCCCCTCTGTCATCTTTTGTGTTCTTCCACTGGGAGGCCCAGAAAAGGAGCAGAGGAGAATGACACAGCAGAAGTGGCATAGGCTGGGTACACAAACCCCGAAGCCTGCAGGGGCCAGGCAGATAGGAAAATGTGTGCAGATAAGAGATAGCAGGAAGTGGTGGGTACTGTGGCGACCTTGAGAGGGCATGCCACCCACAGTGATGCAATGTGAAGGCTCAATGCCATCACATCAGCTGAACAAAGCACACTTGTGGGCCAGATTCAGCTTAAGGGCCACTAGAAGCTATGGTCTTAGAAATACTCTGGTAACAATTTCCCTTCTTTTTACTCATGATAGTCTAGAGAGTGCTGTAGACATTTGCCTATGTAAGATCAGGCTTAAGAGCCACCAGTTGGTGAAACCCTTGGATGTGATAAGAACCTCTTGGGGAAGGCAACTGTTCAAATTGGTCCTGCAGGAAACTCTGGGTGTCCATCAAGGGCTGGCCTGGTCGCCTATCACAGGGATTCCATGATGGGTGGAGTCCCCGTCACAAGTGATAACTGATTCTGGGACTCCTCCCATATGCCCTGGCGGTGGGAATGTGGGCTCTTCTGTTCCTTGTCCAGCCCCTTTCCCTGCTGGGGGCAGTGCTGGGCATGGGCACCCTTGAGCTCCCATTCTTTCTCCACCCCATGCAGGTGATGGGGTGGGAGACATCTGTGAGTCTGACTTTGACCAGGACCAGGTCATTGATCGGATTGACGTCTGCCCGGAGAATGCGGAGGTCACCCTTACCGACTTCAGAGCCTACCAGACTGTGGTCCTGGATCCTGAAGGGGATGCCCAGATCGATCCCAATTGGGTGGTTCTGAACCAGGTGAATGTCACACAGTTGGCAGCAGTCCAGCTTTGCCTCTTGACAGAGGCCCTTCTGATAGTGGCAGGTGCATCTAGAGGATGATGATGACTAGCCAGACACAACTCACATTGTATTTACTCCTCAGTAGCCTATGACAAACCACTTTCATCGTGCCCATGATGAAATAGAGTCTTACACACCTTTTGTGATTGCCTGTGTTAGAACTGCAGCAAGTAGCTGAGGTGACTGAAATTGGGACCCAGCAGTTTGACCCTAGAGCTCACACTGCTAATCTCTCTGACAGACTGCCTTCTCTATATTCTCCTCATTTTGTAACTAAGGCAAGAAGGTACAGAGAGGCTTAGTACACTTTCCAGAGTCCCACAGTAAGTCCTATTCATTAGAAGTATATATTGTATGTTTTCCAGTTAAGGGTCTATTGAATCAGCTTAAGGGACAGTCTTAGCAAAATTATTTCTTTTCAACTTTGAGCCTTTCTGACCTTGAGTACCTAATAAGATAGAGCAACTTCTCAGGTAATGAATCTTTATATTAAGGTCAGACATCACTGGACACCTACTCATGGCATCTGAGGTTCTGAACTTCTCTGCACTTTCTCAGCCTCTTCCAACTGTTCTGAACTCCCTCCCTCTCTCTGCAGGGCATGGAGATTGTGCAGACCATGAACAGCGATCCTGGCCTGGCAGTGGGTATGTCCGGGCTCCCATGAACACTCATACAGAATTCTTCCAGCTTCTGGTGAGGCTTGTCTATATTTCCCAGCTTACCTGATCTCTACAGGGTACACAGCTTTTAATGGAGTCGACTTCGAAGGGACCTTCCATGTAAATACCCAGACAGATGATGACTATGCAGGCTTTATCTTCGGCTACCAAGATAGCTCCAGCTTCTATGTTGTCATGTGGAAGCAGACAGAGCAGACATATTGGCAGGCCACCCCGTTCCGAGCAGTTGCAGAACCTGGCATTCAGCTCAAGGTACTGTGGTTTGAAGTCACTCCTCTTCCTTTCTTCTGAGCCCTTTACCTCCTTTTAAGTGCCATATTCTCCCATATGGTATTTGATTGATCTAAGAAGTAGAGCATTCATGTTCAAGTCTAAGTAAGGGAAGACTGGAGCTGACCCAGTCTCTGCCTTCTGTCCTGTGTACCAGTCACATTCTGACCTCTCATGGTGAGAATTTTGACCCAAGTGTTGTCAGAGAGGTGGGAATGACTGGGATGCATCTTCAGGCACACTGTACTGGAAACTGGCTAATATATTTTGTCAGTGGAGCACACTCTGAGGATGATAGGTTGCCCTGTCACTCCTGTTGGGACAGAGGCAGACTTCAGTGGCCAAAGATTTGTTGGGCAACTTCACTGGACAGATATGGGGAGCAGTGGACCTATAGCAAGAAAAAAAAATGTGGAGTTGGGAGTAGAATATTGTTCAATACTTAGCACTAAAGGGTTGAGTGTCACCTCAGTAGAAATGACACTTAAGCATTTTCGCTTTTTCCCCCCAAATCCAAGACAGCCAGATTATAACCACAAATTGAGCTCCACCATATCACCTCAGATCCAGGAAGCAGGAAGGGTGGTCTGTATGTCCTATCCTAAATCTTGCTCATATCATTGTCCAGGCTGTGAAGTCTAAGACAGGTCCAGGGGAGCATCTCCGGAACTCGCTGTGGCACACAGGGGACACCAGCGACCAGGTTAGGCTGCTGTGGAAGGACTCCAGGAATGTGGGCTGGAAGGACAAGGTGTCCTACCGCTGGTTCCTGCAGCACCGGCCCCAGGTGGGCTATATAAGGTAGGTGGAGGACCCATCTTACCATGCACTAAAGGCAAAGCATGGTCTGTTTTGCATTCCATAGCCGTCTTGACCAAGGCCCGTCCTCAAGGGCATGCCAGGCCTCCTGTGACTTGACTAGGTGCCCAGAAAAGAGACTGGGCAAAAATACCCAGACTCAGACTGGCCACCTGGATCGTAAGGCCAAAATGAGGATGGAAGGACCTTCGTGAGGGAGGGCTCAGCCCAGGGAGACTGGTGCTGTCATGGGGGCGGACCTGGAGTGAGGGGATTGGCGCACTGGCACGGTGGTGTCCTTCTGGCGCACTGGACAGAAAAGCCTGAGTGTGGATGGGCTGACCAGAGTGCGGAGGAAGACATGAGCCAGTCTCTTTTTCATACCCTCTCTGTGACTACTGGGGCCCTGTATAATCACTTGTCAGTGCATGCTTCATATTGAATGCACTGTGGCCCTTAATGTTGGTCTTCCCTACTGGATCACAAACTTCATGAGTGCAGCACCTGTGTCTTACTTCATCTTGGTCTCCCAGTGTATAGCACTATGCCTAGCCTGCACTATAGGCAGCACAGACGAACCATCATGCAAGCCAGTGTCATCTGCCCTGTTTCTTTATAGAACTTTATGTAAAAGTATTCTCAGGAGTTAGAGTGGCTAAGGGCTACATTTTTGAAATGTAGACCATGCACTTCCCTCTTCATTCCTCAGACTCGCAGATCAGACCCATGCTGGCTTCTGCAATACGTTAGGAAGGAGTACTGACAGCATGCTCTGGATCAGGGCAGGAAGGTGGCCTAGTGGAAAATGAAAATCATGAGGGCTCATTCCTGTTTTGTTCTTCTTTTTGGCATGATGTCAGCTGTGCTCAATTTGCCTAACAGTCAGATGTCCTCAGCTCTCTGAAGCCCAGCGCCTCTTTTATATAACACATATTTTGAAATGTCCCTTTTCTGTCCCAAAATGAAATGATAGAAAATATAATCTACTTATATAAATATATATATATTTTTAGTTGGACTCTGACTCTGTCACCCAGGCTGGAGGGCAGTGGCATGCTCATGGCCATCCCAGACTCAACCTGCTGTGCTCAAGCGATCTTTCCACCTCAGCCTTCCAAGTAGCTGGAACCACACCTGGCTAATTTTTTGAATTATTGTAGAGATGGGATCTGGCCAAGTTGCCCAGGCTGGTCTCGAACCTGTAGGCTCAGGCAATCCTCTCGCCTCCACCTCCCAAAGTGGTGGGATTACAGGCATGAGCCACGGCACCTGGCCTACAAATAACTTTAGAAAATAAATCTGAGCCCTGACAATGTAATAGGGAAAGAAGAATAAATTAATGAATAATAAAATAATGTAAATACATGGGCACAACTATACCAGAAGGCAAAATGAAAGAGACACTTGCACCCATACCTAGAATCATGATGAAGGTGACATTCTAATACAGACTGTTGTATCAGTGACTCAAATGTAACAGTAGTGTTGCTGATGATGATGTGCATTTCTAAAATGGCAAACATTTTAGAGTGTTAATTTTCTTTTTCTTTTTTTTTTTTTTTTGAGTTGGAGTCTCACTCTGTCATCCAGGCTGGAGTGCAGTGGCACGCTCCCGGGCACTACAGCCTCGACCTGCTGGGCTCTGGCGATCCTTCCGCCTCAGCCTTCCAAGTAGCTGGAACTACAGGCGCGTTACCACAACTAGCTAATTTTTGATTTATTGTAGAGACAAGTCTCACCAAGTTGCCCGGGTGGGTCTCAAACCTGCGGGCTCAGGCAATCCACACTCCTCGGCCTCCTAAAGTGCTGGGATTATAGGCTGAGCCACCAAGCCCGGCCTGGAGTATTAATTTTCAAACAAAGAAAATACTCAGTAGTTTCTCAGTTTACTCTGGAAGATTCAGCCTATGTTAAAATTAATGCAAAATAACTTTGGTGTTCACAAGTAAATGGATTGTAGGACATGTGAACTTGTTCTCTCCAGGACATCGCGAGCCATCTAGCATCCCTGGCTTCCAATACTCAGTGCCACTGTGATTTCTCTCTACTCAGAGAGTACTATCTCCTGGGGAGACCCATTGCTCTGAGATTCCACCACATGATATAAATCACCGGAGTTTATAAATCAGCAGAAGTTTTTAAGCATGATATCTAGATAAGGTAAACCACAAGATGGCAAAGACACAAAACCTATGGCTCATGACATCAGGCTGTTTCTTGTTAACTCAGTAGCAAGTGCCTGTTAAGTTTGCCCAACGCTGCATTAGGCTTTTTGAGAGACAAAAGTCAGGGAGACCGTCACTGCCCTCAGGCACTTCCAGTGGAGCAGGGAGGGGAAGCAGCTAGAGCACAGTCCAGGGCAGTGAAAAGGTCGTGTAACACAGAGGAGAGCTGCAGGTGTATTAGAAGAGGGGAGTCCTGAGCCTCCCAATAGAAGCTTTACCTGGGATTGGGCTTCATGGAGTCCCACTCTGGCTATGTTGCCCACAGGGTGCGATTTTATGAAGGCTCTGAGCTGGTGGCAGATTCTGGAGTCACCATAGACACCACAATGCGTGGAGGTCGACTTGGCGTTTTCTGCTTCTCTCAAGAAAATATCATCTGGTCCAACCTGAAGTATCGCTGCAATGGTAACATGCATTCTTATTACTGTTCAATATTATTACTAGAATTAATCATATGATGCCACCTTATTTTTATAGGACCCTTCCCCCCATAAGCCCAAAACTCACACCACGTATTCATTAAAAACTGATAGTCCCTGTGTAACAGAAGTAAAAAAATAGATCTCATTTTTGCTTTCTCGTATATGTGGAAATTGAGACCCATAGAATTTAACTGTGTGGTTCAGGGTTTGGGGTCCAGTGAGAACTTCAGTCAGGTTTAATTTACAGGCAGTCTTTATTTTCATATGGATCAAACATAATCACAGACTCAATCCGCTCTCCCTGTTAATTTTGTTTTGGCCTGTGAAGGAGCACTCCTGGGCTTTAAGCCAACCAAGTTGCAAAGCAGCCTGAAGTGGGAGCGGGGTGGGGGTGGGGTGGTGGGGGGGTGGTGGGGGGTGGTGGTGGGGGGTGGTGGTGGTGGTGTGTGTGTGTGGGGGGGGTGTGCATTGTGCAGCCTGGTGGGTGGAAGAACAGTGCCCCCTGCAGGGTACCTGAGCCGTGGGAGATGAACGGAAGCTTGGAGTGAAAAGGACCCTGAACTTTCCCTAACTAACCTGTTCTTCTTGCAGATACCATCCCTGAAGACTTCCAAGAGTTTCAAACTCAGAATTTTGATCGCTTGGATAATTAAACCAGGGAAGCAATCTGTAACTGCTTTCTCAAACACCCCAAACCATGTATTTTTTAACTTCCCATAACTTTCTTTATACACACCGTGGCTTTCTTTTACAGCCCAAATATATTAAAACTTTTTATATGAGTGTGGTAATAAAAGAGAAGAGAGAATTTTTAAAACCCATGTTACCAGACATTGCCTGCGTGTGGCTCAGACTTTAGGGGTGCATGCTGTTCTCTGAGGAGTCCATGCTGAACTTGTAGGGTGATCTTTTTCTCGGGCTGGATGGTCAGTGAGGTCGAACTTGTGTCTCATCTGGGTCACCCCTTGAGCTTCACACAGAGAGCCCAATTGTTCTGTGTTCGCCTCAGCAGCCTCTTATTCTGAGGTCTCAGAAACATGCACTCAGGAGAAATGTTTCCAAACCAGTCCTGGGGCAGATTTATCCACTTCGTCCTGACACCCTCCTCCCATCTCACACACCACTTCTATACATACCTTCTGCATAATTCTCATGCCAATTTATATATTTGGCTCCCCCTAGTGGTATATCAGCTCATTGAAAATAAAGGATCTGTTATCACAGTATTTTACAGTATCCGGGATATAGTAGAAATCCAACAAATGAGTTCTCTTGCAACTCAAAATCTGTTTTCAACACATGACCCAACTATGGTGGCACCAGGAGCATGGACAAGGCAGAATCTTGCCTTGTGTATACCCCCGGCTTTCTTACATTTCAGGTGTAAGTCAAAGATTCAGGCAAATTTTTTTTTTTTTTTTTTTTTTGAGTTGGAGTCTCACTCTGTCGCCCAGACTGGAGTGCAGTGGCCGCTCCCGGCCACCACAATCTCGCCTGCTGGGCTCCGGCGATCCTTCCGCCTCAGCCTTCCAAGTAGCTGGAATTACAGGCATGCGCTACCACGCCCAGCTGATTTTTTGATTTATTGTAGAGATGAGGTCTCGCTGCCCAGGCGGGTCTCGAACCCGCGGGCTCAGGCAATCCACTCACCTCAGCCTCCCAAAGGCGCGGGATTACAGGCTGAGCCACCGAGCCCGGCTGCAGGCAAATTTTTATCAATTCCCTAGAACTTTAGTTTCAAAGAATATGGCTGTGTAGTTATATATTCTTTTATTCTAGAATTCTTGGAAATATCTTAAATCATTTTACCATGACTTTAACAGTCAGAAAATACAGTGGTACATGCATGACCAATGTGAGATGTGGAAGGTTTCTGGACATCATTTTCACATGTATAGTCTAGAGATGTGTGTTGCCTTGTCATCCAGGTCATCTGATCTCCTACATGAAGGTCTCCAATGGGTGGAGAGAACTCAGGCCTGTCCTCCAATTGTTACTGCTTCTGACTGTCCATCCTCCTGAGGGAACCTGCAACAGACACTATCTCCCAAGTCCTTGTTGCTGCCATAGCATTTTTTTCAACTATGGTTGAAATGTCTATGTCTATAAGTCTCTGCCAATTCCAAAAAACCCAGGGAAGAAAATTAAAGTCTTTTGGTTTCCAGTCTTCCCTTTCTTCTTCACCTTTTATATCTCACTGAAAGGTTCTTTCCTGAGCCCTGAGGTCTTCCAGGATCTCCCTGGCCCACTCTGTTTTCTACCCACTCTATGTTTGTACCTTTGAGTGAGATTATACCTTTACAGCTATTTTAATGCCCTTTTTCTGGAGTCCATAAGGAAAGTTACAGATCCTCCTCTTGAGTAATTTTCATTCTAGCCACTGAAACATATACCAGATCCTATACACAAAATAGACTAATCTCTAAGAGGAAAAAGGGTGCTGGTGATCAGATCTGGATGTGAGTTTGGCTTAATTCATATAGCATCCTGGTCTGACTTTCAGTGAGCTTGGCTCCCTTATCAAACATGTCCTGTGGCACCTATATTCTCCCCTGCACTTCCTCCTTGAGGCTGGTGGGAAGAGCAGACAGTCCACTTCCACCCCAGGACAGCCCCCTGCTGTTGGCCATGCAGGCTCCAAGAAAGCAGTACGTTCATAGGAAACAGGCTGTTTTAGTTCAATCAGTACTTTCATGTCTGCCAACCATGGGCCTACAGGAGATCTAAAACATAATT